TCATCCTTCGGTTGTAACAAAAGAAGCTGACCTTTTCCAAGCTTTCAACCTCATTACAATGTGGTCCCCTGGTTTTTCCTAAAATTGGCCCACCTACTCTTCTCCCTGCCCAACATTTATTTATCAGCCGCTCATCACCCCCACATCCCACCGCCTGAAGGCAGCTGCGCAAGTGACAGCTGCTGCTGCTTTGTCGGTACCCAGGGTTAGTCACCATGGCAACACAACATACCATGTGCGGTGCACAGATGGAAAAATAACATTTCACTTGCTCTTCAAGCAATCATAGCTTAAAATATATATATATATATATATATATATATATATATATATATATATATATATGTGTGTGTGTGTGTGATTTATTTTAAGAGATTATATATATATATATAAAAAAAACACACACAAGAAGCAATTATGTTTAAGCTTGATGAGATTTTTGTTTAACCAAAACCAATCAAAATCCTGTGAATATCTCTTTGCAAGGAGCGTAAAAGCAATACTTGGAAAAAAAAAAAAAAAAAAAAAAGGTAAAGTGGGGGGCACCCAGTTTGAGAATTGAACTCATTACTAAGTAGTAATGATTTTTGAAGCCGACTTTGAAGGCTAACAAAAAAACAAAAACAAAAAAAAAACAAAAAAAAACAAACAAACAAAACAAACAAAATGAAAAACAAACAAAAAAAAAAAAAATTTTTTTTATTTTTTTATTTTTTTAAGGATTACCAATCAGTTAGGTTAACCAATCACAAAATAAGTCTCCAATATTTTCATAAACAAATCTTTCATTAATATCCAACTCCAATAAACATTTTCCCTTTAGGTTGACCCACAAAAATAATTTGATACCAGAATCTGAAATTTTTCTTTTTTTTTGTTAGCCTTCAAAGTCAGCTTCAAAAATCATTACTACTTAGTAATGAGTTCAATTCTCAAACTGGGTGCCCCCCCACTTTTTTTTTTTTTTTTTCCAAGTATTGCTTTTACGCTCCTTGCAAAGAGATATTCACAGGATTTTGTCTGAAATTCGCTTGCTGTACTCCTTGGTGTCCAGGGACATCTGTGACTGGAGATGGAGGAAGGGAAGGAGAGATCAATGATTTATTAATCAAGTTCATTGATTTCTTGTAGAAAATGCATAGAATAACCTGAAAATGCTGAGGAAACTATTTCAAATGCAGCTCCATTTCTGATGGAACTGACAGAAAGAACACCAGACCAAACAGAAAATGAGAACTGTCCTGAAGATCAAAAAGTCAAATCATTCTATCAACAGTAGGGGAAAAGGGGAGAGGCACAGCGAGGGGAAAAGGGGAGAGGCACAGCGAGGGGAAAAGGGGAGAGGCACAGCGAGGGGAAAAGGGGAGAGGCACAGCGAGGGGAAAAGGGAGAGGAGCCCTAGGGGAAAAGGGGAGAGCACAGCGAGGGGGAAAAGGGGAGAGGCACAGCGAGGGGGAAAAGGGGAGAGGCACATAAAATAACAAAAATGCTTTCTCTCTGACCTTGCTCCAACAGCACAATAGAGAGTGGGAAAATGGCTATAAGTTTTAACCACTGAAAAAAGAGCTAGTAACTTAAACACTGTTCAGACCTTGAATGCTTTCATGTTCATTCCATTGACCTCAAGTGGAGCTAATATACATATCCACTGCTAAGGATGTTGGAAAAATGGTTGGCTTCTTGTACTGCTTCAGGTAATTATCTGACTCCTGTCATGCTTTATCTTTGCAAGAGTCAGATCAGACCAAATATGGAGCATTGCTGCTATATCCGGGCTGGAGCAACCTCATTCTGATTTTTTTAGCTTTGTGGGTGATGGATTATATTCTAACCAACAACCCTTTCCCCACTGATAAAATATCACAAGCCTCTCACCTACTCTATCGCTATTTCCATAGAAAATGTTCTGACAAGCTACATTCCTTAGTTCCACCAGTTCAGACCTGCCATACCCTGAACATGGAGTCAACTCACTCTCATCCCCTTTGTCTTCAATTTGGACAAGTTATACCCAAGGGCTACTACTTTAAAATGTTTTTGTTCAGTAACCCACTACATTGAGTGGCTCTTGGGCCTTGTATTGATCTTCTGAATGCCTGCCTTACAGACTTGTAATATAATGGCTGGCTGGCTTGCTTGCTTGCTTTCTAAGTATACCAGGGTGACTAGCTAATACCTGCTGCAGACAACTGCTCTCGAACATTTGTTTTTCTAAAACACCTGCAGAGCTTAGAGTTTCTGAGAGAGCACACACAATCTGGTGTGATCAATAATTGAACAAAACCAGTATGCCTAAACTCTCAGTCACAGTGACTTGTAATTTTGTGGCAGCAGAATCATCTATAGCTTCCAGACAGTTTTGCCTACCCAATTATACACATAAAACTAGAGTCAACCTGAGGGATGGTTTCAGGCATTTATTAACAATGCCACATATGAAGTCTGTCTCCCCCAGGACAGTATTATAGAGAAGTCATCACCTTGACAATTGATTGTGATGTGATTTGGTCCCAGTCATGTGGTTGTAATGTTAACAGTTTAACCACTCAGCCACATACTAATATGTAACTTTGTCTCTACCCCTCCCTGTTGCCCTCACTTATCTCTGTTAGAATGATTTGACTTTTTGATCTTCAGGACAATTCTCATTTTCTGTTTGGTCTGCCCAGTGGTTAAAGTAGTTGAATATTTAGCAGCACTTCAATTTTCTCTATTACTTTTGTCATAATTAAGCTTAGTAAATATCAAACCTTTTTCTTCAACTGCTTGTCTAGTAGCTGAGAGTGTTGTGCAGGAAATGCTGATTTTCAAGGTAGCCAAACATTAACTTCAAGAATAAGTACAACACAATTTTATACATAGAAATACTTACTTCACTTTCTGGACATCCAAAGTTAATTTTAAGTTGACCCATTGCTCTGATAATGGCAATCATTGATTGCATTATGTTGCTGTAAACGACAGGTCTGTATTGTAAGCATTCCTCTTGTGAATAGCCCTTTTCATGAATAATTCTGAAAAAAGAAAGAGGTTTTTTTAAATAAAAGTGTATGTGGTGGTGGGAGTGGGGGGTAAAACAAAAACAAACATTGATATGAAATCTTTCATTATTGTCAGCTGTAGAATTCTATCTACCTCTTCTAAATGCACTCATCTGCCTGGCTTGAATGTTCACAGAAACAAGCATTAAAAGCTTTTTATTCTTATAGTCAACCAACATTTGGGAGGCGGGGAGGATGATCTGAAATTTTATCCCCTATCTTACAAGTTTCACAGTTATGCAGAGTCATAGCTACTCAGCTAGATTTGGCTGCATTTTCCTTCCGTTACGTACATAATGGTGTGAATGATAAAAATTTCTGTTTATCCATTAAAAAAAAAAAAAAAAAAAAAAAAAAAAATCATTTTGCCCCAAGCAAGGCATAAAGCCACTAAGATGCAAGGGGTTACTGAGTGTTAGAGAATATGATGGAAAAAAAAAAAAAAAAAAAAAAAAAAAAACACACTTAAAGGAGAGAAATCAATAAAAGAATAAGAATTAAGACAGAAAAAAATTGTCTTGCACAACAGTGAACCAACTTTCCTAACTGCAGACTTAGCAGTTTATACAATATACTCTCTCCACCTCATATCAGCAGAAAACTGAAGGTGCAATGAGCCACTTTTCTGGAGATTAGCATTAGCCATGCTGATGTAAGGTAAAACAGATTCTTTCAGCATTAATGCCAAATTCAGAAAACAGCAACAGAGCTGCTTGTGCCATTGTGGCTGGATCTAGAAAGGTTATGTGGATGTCAGATATGCTTGCAGGATGTAAGATGCAGGTTCAAGTCTTACAAGAATTCATTTGTCTCAGATTCAAGTTGTTTTAACAGTTGGAGATTATAATATCTTAGAACATTGTAATAAAAATCAACAACATTACAATGATCCATGTTTATTACCAGAATAAATTTTGGTTAGCACAATTCTGTTTAAATGCTTTAATTTGAAAAACAAAGCAATTTCAAGTTAAATCATGTCATCAATTTCCATACACACACACATCTTATTCTTAATAGCTGGGCTTAAAAATCTTATTCTTAATAGCCGGGCTTAAAATATATTGTAAGAGGCATGGTGGTGTAATGGATAGTGGCTTAAATTGAGGAATCAGAGAGCCGAGTTCAAATTCCAGTTGAATCTATTATGTTCACTTATGTGGTAATACCCTTGGGAAAAGTATGAATCCACTTCTCCCCCTAGCTATGGCTAAATAGCAGGACAGACCATGTTCTATAGCCTTGGATGGCAACGGGTCTACCGCAGAAAGAAATGGCAACCTACTGTGGGGAAAAAATCTGCCTTGTCAGTCATGTGTCAAAAGAGACATGATCGCCTAAGTGTGTATCACACATGGCACATAACTGACTGAAATATATATAAGTAAGAGAGAGCATACTGGCCATGTTCAGATCGTTGATCATGCCAGATAATGTTCTCTCTCTATCTCTCTCCCAGAAACTGTAACTATAATAATTAAATTATAAAGCAATGTAAAAATAGATTAAAAACAAAAAGAAGCTGTGTATCTTACTTGTGATTTGAGTTTCACTTCTGGGTTGTTAGGCTAAATTGTGAAATATCATTATATCTTAACCCATTACCTGCCATGAGCCCCATTTAGGAATCTGTTAAAATTAAACTCATTACATGTTATTCCTTGTATTTGCATTGAATTCCTTATATACATTGCATTTGCAGAGGTATATTTTACAACACTTAGCCTTTAAGGTTTTTATTATTAGCCGTAAGACACTTTCTGTTGTAATTTTACATTTCACAAGTAGAAAAATAATGACTATTTTGAAAAGAGTTTTTTTTTTTTTATTTCTAATCCATATTTTATATATTTTATATATATATATATATATATATATATATATATATATATATATATATTTGATGCTCTAGTTTCTATAAAAATGACAATGGTAACTACTGAAATTAAACATAAGGAATAAATAAACTCCTAAGACACCTGTCTAGGCCAAAAATGTGCATTAAAAAAAATTGGCAGTTAATGGGTTAAAGTTGCATTAACCAAATAGTAGTAGTAGTAGTAGTGTTGGTATGCATGTGTGTTTCAAACTATTGAATCTTACTAAAAAATTTTTTAGTCTCATTAGCATCAACATGTAAATCTATCAAGCTACAAATTTAGTTGGTAATTAGGATTTTTCTTTTTAATATAATAATCTAAACCAAAGCTTTTTCAAACTAATATGCTGCAATACTATTCTGCCATTAATTACATGTTCTTTATTAACTAAGGTTTTCATTAAATTATTTTTTATATGCATTTTGAATCATGTATTTTGGCTTGGATAACAAAATGTTATAAGATACTTAAAAATCATTTTGTTGGTACCAATGCAAAAAGTTTGGAAATATCTGATCTTTCCTTAAGTGGAATTGCAGTAGTTATATTTAACTTGATTCTGAAATCTAATTAATCATTTAACATCTGACTTGACCAGCAATTGTAATGATTACCTCACATCTTGTGATTCACCAGAAGTATTTATGTGATAGGGTGCAGCTGCAAAAACATTTTAGCAACCATATTTGATGGACAGTAAGGCCAATCCCAAAGTATGCAAAAAAAACAAAAAAAAAAAAACAAAAAAAACACACCCCTTTACACTTATTACATTATGTACTTGGGCAAGGTCAGCCATAGCATCCTGGCAAATAGCAGCCTATCAGACATAATATTGCATATTGGTGGGTAGGACAGGTCTTCAAATCACTAACTTTTAGACTCAATGTCTTTTTACAATCCAAACCTACACAAGAGGCAGAAAAGGTCTGTGGGCAGCATGGGTAAATGCCAATTCTTATAGTATTTTGCAAGATTAATATACATTACCAAAAAGCCATTGATCTGAAATTGGTCAATCTATGTGATAAATGACTAAATACTTTGACAAGGAAGGAAATTATAGAAATAAAAATATATAGATGTAAATGCTTTTTGTTATTATACAAACTTTTTATTGGTGTGCCTACAGGAAAGTTGATTTTTATAAACATTAGAATGAACATTTAAAGACATTCTGCTACAGAAATTTTTCTTAAAAGGGAAAATAGAAACTTGCTGGGCTGTGACAACCTCTGTGGCTGAGCAGTTTAAAGAACACGGGATGGATCAAGACACTTAAGCTTAGCGGAATATGCCATCAACAACAAAAAGTTAAAAGATAAAATATCAAGATATAACAAATGTGTTGGGAAATAAAAAAATTTTGAAAGTGTTGAAAAATTTTAAATTACATTTTTCAGTTTGGTTTTCATTGTACAAACAATCTGCCCTCATCCCTCTGTATTTTATATGACCTTTTAATCAGAAAGATTTTGGTAACACCTGGCAGATTTCTAATTGACAATTTCCCCATCAAAAGTTATTTCCTGATCTTTTTCAATTCACTTAATATTCATCCCAAATCAACAAATTCACCTTCAATGTGACCCTTAAAAATTCATGTAAATATCTAAATTCATTACAATTTAGAATCTTCTTTCTTACATAATAAATCTTTCTTTCTTTAAATATTGATCACAGTCAACCTTTGACACTTAAGAAGAAGGGGGACATTATAAATGTGTTGTGAGGATATTAATAATAATGTATCAATAATTAATGATTATAAATAACTAGCAGTATGGCCCGGTGTTGCCTGTGCTTGATTCAAAAATCGTACGACTCATACAGCAATCGCTATCACTTGACTTTAAATATTTTTGCCCTTCCTTGCCGTGCTGATGTTGCTACATGCCTTACTTCTTGCCTATCTCACACTGAATTTTTTCTAAGCTCTATACTAAACATTAAATCTATTACGAAAAAAGAACTAAACAAAATGAACACAAAACAATCGGCTTTAAAAAAGAACTCGTAACTGGAAAAACCGAATGAAAAAAGAATGTTAACAACAAATACTTTTTCACACCCAACCCAGTTCTGCGGAATCAGAATAAACGTTGAGTTTAAGCAAGCGAATGAGCCAATTGGAGTGCCATGCAGATTTAAATTTTTCCCCACTTGTGATGAATGCAGCTATCAATTTTTTTGCATGCTAGTTAACATTCATGTCAGTCAGCTGTTGGCTCTCACGCTGGCCAATAGAATCTTCCTGCCTATTTGTGGCAGCCAGCTATAGACTCTCACTCTGGCCAGTACAAAATGGCCACAAACTACATGAAAGCTACCATAGAAGCATGAAAAAAATTGATTATTTCCACTATCGATGGGAGTTGGGAAATGCAAAGTCGGTCTTGGCCTTCCCGCTAACTTGGAGCATGTGCATGTAAATTTTGGTGCAAATCCGTCAAAAATTGCGTCCGTGCATTCATCACACACACACACCTGCCTTTTATAGATAGAGATGCCTCAATATTATTAGGTAACTAGATTTTTTCCCTGTTGGACATTTGCCCTTTGTTAATGATATCTTGTTGGATTCAAATTGTTTTGAATAATTTTCCAGTAGTGACTACATATGTAATTTTATGTCTATTTGGTAAATATAGGGAGGGGGGTGTATTTTCAGTTGTGGTTATCCACCACTTGTTAAATTGTATCAAGAATATTTAAGTGGATTAAACTAATTCATGGTGGATAGGGACGAACAATAATTCTATGTCGTTAGATCTTTTATCAGTCATAGATCCTAATCAACAGAGCAATTCTTATGATGAATGAGACATTCCAAGACAAAGGGATGGGAGTTCAATTCTTGCTAAAGGACTGATCTTCACAGATGGCCACAGACAATCTGAATAATCACAATAAAAACCAAATAAAAATTAAGATGAAAGAAATACAAGCTAAAAATTAAGTTATAAGGACATTATCTTTCTCTCTCAGCAAAACGGCCAATGTCCCCCAACTTGAAGGCTTGCCCAAGTCATGTACATGTAGTCATTGACGTTAGTTTAGGAAGCTCTCTGCTCAGTAATAAGAAGTTAGCAT